TCTCTACTCCTTCTACTACTCTCTTTCACTCTGTATCATCTCTATCATCATTATCAGATTAATCAGAGCTGTACAGACTGCAGAGTCAGCTATTCAATCTCATTCATGAATTCAAAGAGATGTATATAACATCACATGAGATTTTATTACAGAGTATTTAGCAGTATATACTATAAACACAGAGATCAAAATGTGATAGAGATAGTAAGAGAGAAGTAGAGATAGTGAAAGTGATAGAAGAGACTGTAGAGTAGTAGAGATAATGATGATGATAGAGAGGCCAGAGAGTGGAAAAGGTGATAGAGAGAGATGATAGAGATGGTAGAAATGAAAGAGGTGATAGAGATGGTAAGAGAGGGGTAGAATGGTAAGATGAGAGTAGAGATAGAGAGTGAAAGTGATAGAGAGTGCTACGAGGCGGTAGAGGCAGTGGTGGTGGTAGAGGTGGTAGGGGTGATAGGGGTGGTAGAGGTGGTAGGGGTGGTAGGGATGGTAAGGGGTGATAAGGGGTGGTAAGGGGGGGTCGGAGTGGAAGAAGTGTAGAGGTGGTAGAGGTGATAGGGATGGTAAGAGAGTGAGTGGTAAGATGGGGGTAGGGTAGAGATATGGAGTGGAAGTGATAGGGGGGGCTGTGGGGTGGTAGAGGCAGTGGTGGTAAAGGTGGTAGGGGTGGTAGGAGTGATAGAGGTGATAGAAGTGGTAAAGGTGGTAGGGGTGGTAGGGGTGGTAAGAGTGAGTGATAAGATGGAGGGAGGGGTATGAAGTGGAAGTAATAGGGGGTGCTACGGGGCGTTAGAGGCGGTGGTGATGATAGGGGGTAGATAGAGTGGTGCAACTTATCTCAGCGGGCTCAGACCTCTGGCTCGGTTTGAACGGGTTGCAGCATTATTATTAACTAGTTAATCCGGCATGACACTAACCTACTTTTGATACAAGTCATGTGCTCAGAGCAATCCTCGCCAGAGGGTCTGAGAAGAAATGGTTCCATCTTCAATGTGTCAGGTCACGTGATCTGGCTTACTAATCCTTCCACCATATAACTTCCCACAAAGCTAGCAACCTTTCAATCACACAAGCTTTACACCTTTCACAGGTTATGAGATCTGTTTTGTGCAAAATTGCTGCCAATTCAGGATTCTTTGTCAATATACTCATTATTTGAACTATTGCTTCATTTGATACACTTATCAGAAGTTAAAATCATCTTATTCTATCAGTATTAATATGTTTGAGATCTTGATGATTAATAATACTACTGCTTACTTAAAAAAGAGGCTTGCAGAAAACACATTACATTTGTAAAAAAGCAAGAAAAAGAGAACAATATTGACAAGAATTCAATAAATGAATATTGAGAATTCAATAAACAAATATTAAGATGGCAGATTCAATATAATCTCACTTATACATATATTCACAATCTTATATTCTTTTCACTGAATCAGTTGCAGTTGATGATGATGATAATTCTTCACACTCATACTCTGTCAGTGAATATTCTTCTGAAGTCTTTGAAAGCTTCATTGATAAACACTCTACAACACTCTCTCAATTTGAAGCTGATTTAAATACAGCTTCTGACACGGTCAGACTGACCTTCTGATTTACTCAATAGCTTGATACTGATTCTCTTAATAAGAATAATGAACACTTAGATATCTACTGTTCAGATGAGGTAATATCAGATCAACAGATGAAGCATCTCAAGATAATGCTTGAAATGAACAAGAGAAAGCAAAGAGTCTGTAACGTGATGAAACCGAAGCAGTGGCTAGTCAGCGGCAATATGTAGAAGTAGTTGTTTGAGAAGCTGTATGAGTGAGCTTGACTATCTTGCTTGAATAGTGAGCTCATAGGCTACAGGGTTATTGCAAGAATATCACAGATATGATACTTAGTATACTAAGAAGATTGTATAAGACATGCAGTAACTCTTGTGTATATTTCAGTAGAAGTAAAAGATAAATCACTGACTTCTTGAATGAGAAGCCAGCATCTAGCTATTCTATATAGACAATGAGTGAATACTCTTCTCTCATTTCATGAGTGAGAATAACTGAAGTAATACCTCAGCAGTATCTCATTGTCAAGAAAGAGTAATCTGCTGATCTCATATAGAAGCAGAGTTCTCATATTCATCAATCAGATCTTTCTATGATATATCTGAATAATGTTATAGAGTGGTTGAAAACTGGTTTAAATGAGATGAAATTATTCACATGAAAGTGATAAGCTGTGTGAAACTGTAATAAGATCTTGACACAGCTGAGAGTATGATAATACTCTTCTCTTTAAGAGCATAGTCTCTATACTCTTAAGATTATCAGATTAGAAATTATCTTTATTGTATAGTAACAGTTGTCAACTGATTATCAGTGTGTGTGCTGTGCATGATACAAAGATGAGTTTTTCTGCTGACTGTGTAGATCTTTCTTTTCTCATCTTTATTCAATTTAAACATGTGATAAGTGAGTTCCTTATATATCAATTTGAAATGTGAAAAATATAGTTAACAAGTGACTTGCAGATCTCTTATCATATTCTATCTTACATATGAAATTCCCTGCAAAAGTGATGTGTTTTAGAGACAAAGCTAACAGTAGTGACAGGATTTTTTGAAAAGATTCTCTCTCTCTGTAACACATTTTTCTCCCTTCTCTCTCATCTGCAATAGTGAGTGCATGAGAGTATCATTCTTGAAGAACAGTAGAGAACTTATTCTGATGTTTTCTAGTGAATAAATATCTTCATGGTGTGACTGCAGTCTCTGTGACTGCTAAGAAAGTCAGGTTGAAGGTGAAGACAGCAGTGTCTATGAGCTGTGAGAGTATTACTCTCATTATCACATCTTCTTCTTCTTCTGCTTCTTTTGCAGTCACAGTGATAGTTATCATGCCTTGCAGTGAGATGTTATTTCTTCTGCTGATCAGTTTATCTGTATTCAGTTCATTCTCTGCTTCTCTCACTGTCATTGTGACACTGCTCTCTTTCTCAGTCAATACAGTGACATATGATCTCATGTGATCATTTGAAGAGAAACTCAGAGAGAGCTTGATTTCAGAGACAGTGACTCTGAGAAGCTCAATCTGTAGTTTCTCTCTCACAGCATGCCTGAGCTCTGCTCAGAATGCTGCTGAGTTGAGTCTGCAGAGTTCTGTGATTTCTTCATCTTCTCTCTGTGAGAAGGCTTTAGTGCAGTCTCTGACTGACACTGCTACTTGTCTGCACTGCATCAAGCAGCTGAAGAAGAGAAGGATTTTATACACTCATTTCTTCTCTTACTCTCATTGTTTTCATTGTATCTGTAACAATAACTTCTATCTCTCTGTAAGTATTATCTCACAGAAAGACATTATGTTAATTCTGATAAGAAGTCTAGATACTCAAGCAGTACAGAGTGAGAGTCTCAGAGCTCTAAGTGTTGATGAATTCTATCAAGACTGAGAAGATTCTCCTTACTTATCTGTAAAAAGAGATAAAAGTGTGAATCTCTGAGATGAAAAAACATCTCAGAATGACTGACTCTAAGAAGAAGTCAGTCAGTGCTGCTGCTGAAAGCATCACAGAGATCAATTACTGATTAAAGAGAATCTCACTTCAACTAAAGCAGATAACTGAGATGCTTTGTAAGTTGATAAGTTGATATTTTATACATTTCTCATGCTCTTCTGCAGTGCTGCAGTGCTAACTTCTTAACAGACAAAGATACTGATATCAGAGACTTTAACAGTGAAGAATGAGTTTGATGAGAGTGTGATTATTAGTGAGTAGACTCTGAGATTCTCTCTTTTTACTTTTTCAGCAGGCTGTGATCTCACTAGAATAGCAGCAGCCTGCAGATCAATTAATATTAATCTTTTTTATTAGTTTCAAATATCTCTTCTCTCTAACTGCTTCAGGAATTTTACACTTGTGTAGTCTCATTAAACTTCTAAAAACTCTTTGAGAGAAAATAGAAGAAGAGTGCTATAGAGTCTACAAGACATCAGCTCATCACTGCAAGATTATCTCTAAAAAACTCTTTAGAAA